AAGGAGACAAATTGAAGAATTGACATATTATCAGATGGGTTTTTAAGGGCATTGACTAGATACATTAGATCGTTTAATTCCAACCAATACATAAGAGGAAGTAGATCTAGAGCCAATAATCGTTCCCTATATGAGGAGGAGTAGTCTCCCAGAATGTATTTCGTTGCCCGGCGTTGTACCCTTTCCAATATCAATATGTCTTTCTTCAGATATGGCTGCCACAATTGAGAACAGTATATAAGCTTTGACCGTACCAGTGAGATATACAGCCTCCTTTTGATAGATGCATCTGCAGTAGTAAAAGCCCTCTTTATCATATAAAGGGATGAGTAAGCTTTTGAACAAATGTGGGAATAATGGTCACACCATGAGTGGTCCCCTCTAACCAAGACTCCAAGATCCCTATGAGATTCAGCCTGAACCAGTGGAAAATGAGAATCTAATAGCGGCACATTTCTGTGTGTTCAAAGAGAGAGAGATTTTATTTGACCATTCCACTAATGAATCTACACATGTATATCTTTTTGTAAGAGAGAGGAGGAAGAATCCTGCTGTAGTTTGGAGTCATCAGCAAACAAGTACAATTCTGAGTATGAGATGACATTGGGTAAATGGGTATATCATCATTAATAAACACCAGGAAAAGGAGGGGCCCTAGGATACTCCCCTGGGGAACTCCTGACTTTACAGGTAACAAGGTAGAAGAATAGTAGAATACCCATCAATACTCACAAAATGCTGGCGGCAAGCCAAGTAATCTCTAAACCAACACCACAGTGGCCCAGTAATACCCAAGGAGAATAGAGTGGGGCACTGAATCGAAAGCCTTCTTGAAATCAAAGTACACTAAGTCAGTTGGGCTCGGTTGGGCTACCACTCTCACAATGCTTCATAATATCCTGAGTATGGGTACCAAGTATCGAGAGACGGAACTCCAGTCTTGCTTCAAGCAGCTTCTTTATTAATCCTGAAAACTCCTCAGGCCCTTTGTCGTGTCCCTTCAAATATAAATAAAATTAAAAGAATATTAATACTGCACATGCATACAATCAACAAAATATACAATACTTATGAACAACTTTACTTGTTTGATTTGCCTCAAACTTTCTACACAGCATAAGGACATCAATATGTATCAGAAAATGTAATAAAAGTTGGGGATCATTTTTTGGCCATTTTTTGGAAAAAACCATGGACTATAGTCTTGGGTATTTTTCAGATTTTTGACGTTTTTTTTTAATAGCCGTAACTTGAAAAATTGAAGTCGGAATCACCTCAAACTTTCTACACAGCATAAGGACATCAATATGTATCAGAAAATGTAATAAAAATTGGGGGTGATTTTGGAATCATTTTTTGGAACATACCCAAGGCTATAGCCTTGGATATTTTTCAAATTTTTGGAAACCTAACCTTGATCTTGTGTATAAGTTAATTAATTTTGTTATTATTTTTAGAGTCACTGCAGTGACCCGTCTCTTACCGACAGATTGAAGCAAGTGAATAGAATTGAATTCCACATTCTCTGAATGACTCATTGTTACTGTATAGGGTATGGATCATATTCTTAGTGTTGCTAAGGAGATTGCTGAAGTTGAAATATCATTTGGTTTACAAGCATCAGTTGAAGATTATCAAAGAGAATTCAAATTTGGTTTAACTGAAGTAGTCTACCAATGGGCCAAGGGAGAGGTGCGTGTTACCATACATGGCTGGAGCCACCGGTAAGGCCCAGAGTAAGGCCAGTAAGGTTTTGGCCGTACCACTTTTTCAGCTAGCCAAAAAAGTAATAGGTGTGGTCTGTCGTGATTAATTAACATTAATAAAAATTAGTGATTACATTAATAAATTTGGTATTTAGTGCAGTGAACGTGCCGCTAATTTGCACTAAGGCCATAGACTGTAAACTGTAGTTAGCTACAGCTGTAAATTCTGAACATTGTCTTTATGATTATGTTGCTTGCATTCTTTCTCTCATTCCTTATTATTTGCTATTGCCAATTTATTGTTTGTTAAATTCAGAATTTTGGCCAAACCACTTTTAATTTTGTGGCTCCGGCCATGTTACCATAGCAACAAAATTCTAATTAAAATTGTTTAGGAATTTATTAATGTGATACAACTAACTGATGTATCTGAAGGTAAGCCTGTCATGTGACATCATATGACATCACAATGTCCTTATTAGGTGTTATAGTGCAAGTGTGTTCAGAGATTGGATGAATTGTGTCGTGATATTGGTAAAGCTTGTAAACTGGTGGGAGAGAAGCAG